CTGAGCTCGTCTAAGTTGCACTTGCTCTTTGCGTGAGGACTGTGTTAGGGTGAGAGACTTGGACTGCAGCAGGATGAGGATTAGGAGGACGAGAGGTATTCAGTTGGGCCTATTTGGGGCTGTCGATCTCAGCTTGCTTTTCTTGATGCCTCTGCTCTAGAGCTGTCACACGAGACTCAAGATCTTCCAAGGTCCGCAGTTGAACGAAGGCTGCTACGACAACAACTACCTTCTCTTTAAATCGAGCATCACTAGACTTCGGAACCTCGAGGAGAGCCACTTGGGCAGCAATAGTTGTGGCTTTGGCTGTTGCTTCTGCCTCTCTCTCTCGGTGTATCGCATCCTCGTAGAGTTTTTGAAAGAACGGTTTCTCGCTCTCGTTCGCTGCGTCCAACATGACCTGCCATTGGGTAGATGAGATGTTTGCCATGTTGGAGGATGGGGTGTTAGTAGATCTCTCAAGAGGGGTTCACTCTTTGCTCACGTTTGGACGAACGCTCCTCTTACCCCTCACACTCTGAAACATTATACCTTCTCTCTCTCTTCTCTTGCTTTCCGCTTTTTGTGCACACGCCTCAAATAAAAGAAAAACAAATAAATGACAAAGAGCAGAAGGTAGAACTCCTACCCCGAGCGACAATTCATTTGGACTTGGAGAACGGCGTCCACGCAACAGAAATAAATAATAAAGAAATAAAAACAATTCACATAGAGGATTGACTTAACGAACGGGTTCGGTCAGATTAGTTGGAGATCCCCTCTTGTCTAACTTAACATCGAACATGTATCACGAATAAGTCAGCCGAAGAAAACTAACTGCAGCAATGGAGATTTCGAGGGGTGCATACGGTCTCCGAGCCAGACGGGGGGCAGTGTGGGAGAACATGCAGTAAGACCAGCCAAGATCCCTTTGAAAGGAATGTCCTTGCTAGTTGTGTGTCCCCCAAATTCAGCATAACAAAGAGATGCATTGACAACAACAGATTTGGGTCCTAAAGGGGTCCTGTCCCATTGGCCTGGTCCCACTTAGTCCCGAAAGGTCCCAAGTAGGTCGTGGACCAGGACCAATGAGAGAGGTGTACCAAGTCAGTCCCAAACTGCCTCTACCGTATTGAAAAGGAAAAGACATTTCAGCAAGAATCTTTCCCTATAGCCGTTCATAAGTGAAAAGACAATGCAATGTTGAAAGATATGTCATTGAGAACAAGATACATCGGGACAAGCTGTTAAGGGAGGAAGAGGTGACGACCTTCCTCCGTCCGCTGGAAAAAGAATTATCCGAACAGCAAAAATCACAACTTGAACACCCGTTATCCAAGGACGAAATCAGGACTACCTTGCTGCAAATGGAGGAGGAGAAAGCGGCGGGCCTAGATGGTCTCTCAAAAGAGTTCTGGGAACCCTTTTGGAACATGATGGCCCCGGACCTAATGAAATACTATGAGCAGGTGTGGGAATCCGGAAGCATGGGGGAGTTAGTTGGACAAGGCATCCTCACCTTGTTGCATAAAAAAGGGGACAAAATGGTTATCGAAAATCATTGACTGATAACCTTGCTTACGGTCGTGTACAAGATGGTAGCGAAAGCCCTTGCAAACCGTCTGATCCTTGTCCTCGAAACCCTGATTCACCCTTCTCAAACAGGGTTTATCAAAGGACGAAGAATCCATGATAACATCCTCCTGATAAATGAGCTTCTCATAATAACAAGGCAGGATAAATGCAACGCAACCGTTATCTTTATTGATTTTGAGAAAGCATATGACCATGTGGATTGGTTCTTTTTGGACAAATGTTTGGAAAAAAAGAACTTCGGTCCACATTTTCGCTGATGGATTGCAATACTACACCAAAACGCCACGACAAGAGTTCAGGTTGATGGAATGTAGGCTCCGGAAATTCGCCTGCAGAGATCAGTCCGCCAAGGAGACCCGCTGGCCCCCTTCCTCTTCATTATTGTGATGGAAGCGTTGGTTGCGAACCTCCACACAAACAGAGACCTGCGAAAGCTCCACATTTCTTCCATCCTACCATCCCTGAAGAAGCCATCCCGGTCTGCTATATGTTCGCGGATGACCTGACTGTTATGCTGGATGTTTCTCTTGCGAATATGGAAGATATCAGAAACCTCATGAAGCGGTTCACTGCTGTGTTCGACATGACAGTCAATTGGGTACCAAGACCTCGGGGTGGTGGATCCATCACCAAGGGGTGCGCCCGCCTGAGCAGCCGCAGATTAAATGGCAACCCATGGAGGCCTCGATTCGGGTCCTGGGCATCATGATGACCGCCTTGGGCAGGCCAGCTTCGAATGATTGGATCTTGAAACCCGTGCTGGAAAAGATGGCTCACTGGACTGACAGCGGACATCACTGATGGGCAGAACTTTGGCCATCAACAATGTTGTACTGGCCTCACTACGGTACAAATCCGCGATATGGGCCTCTTAGCAAAGAGGTGGTCAAAGCATTGAAGAGATAGGTTAACACGTTGCTCTAGAGGGGGGACAACACCCTTCCTAATGTGATCACTAGAGTCGCCTGGCCGGTAGTTATTCAGCCAAGAGACAAAAGGGGGTCTAGGCGTCCTGGACCCGTCTGCTTTTCACCACCCATCTCCCGTGGGGGGCCTTGGCCCTTGAACAAATTGCACGTTTGGCTCCCAGACCTCTTGCGAGGTCCACCCACTGACCTGGCTTGAGGAGCGCTTTTGGTCCATTCCCCACCTTTGCCAATTCCCAAGAAACACAGAAAGGGGGGCTGCCAGGCGTGACTTGGCTGGGGACGACTTCTGGTGCAGGGCCCTTCGCGCGTGGCGCCAACTCTCCCTACCAGACAAGGGCAGGCTGTCCAGGTGGGAGGAGGTGGGGAGACAACCTCTGTTTGGGAATACACACATTATGGATTGGTGCGGGAGCATATATTGCAGTTCGGCCCCTCCGTGGAACAGCTGGGTCAAAAGGGGGGTGTTAAAAATTAACGACATATGGGCTGTGGAAGAGAAAAACTGGCAAAGCATTGTCATCATGTGGGACGAAACTTTGAGGAATTGATCTTTTATGTACCCTTGGATTGGGTGTGCATCCTATGTAAGGGACCATGTCTACAAGAAGGGGGCTGGGTGGATATCCCTGATGATCCTGAAAGCGTGGGGAATGTGGTGGAGGTACATACCCAGGAAGCTCTAAATCTTTTTCATCGGGAACATGACAATAGGTTAAAGAGGTACCACCCTGATGTGCTGAAATGGTGGAAAAATATAGATTTGCCCCGCATTTGGGTTCTCCATTCGCAGGACTCGTTCATGTTCTTCCCTGAAACCCCGCTTGCCAACCTTCCCCTTGACCCGGAGGAATAGAAATGGAATCTGTCAAGGAAAAAGGGGGTAAACAGGACCCTATTCACCTTGTCTGTGAAATCGGCCTACCGCCTCCTAAGACCGAGGATCAATGTGAAGGAAATTGTGAGAGAACGATGGCTAACTCGTATGAACGTGGGAATGGACGCAGTTCGACCTATTCGGTGGTTTAAGGCCAAGAGAGCCAAACCGGCGAAACTGGCTTCGCTGCAGTGGCATATAGAACACCACTGCCTCCCAACCAATAACTGGCTAATTGATCGAAAAGGCCTAGCGCTACCATGGTGTCACTCCTGTTTGGCCTCCTTTCCCCACCAAAAGATGCGGAAACCATAAAGCATATATTTTTGCAATGCCCAGGGGCGATTCTGACATGGAGATGGTGGGATAGGATCTGGCGAAAGCTTGGCACTACATCCATGTGGCCATGGGACTGGAGAGCCCTCTTATGTGAAGCCTGGTCCTCCCCTGCGGACTGTCCTTTCAAAAATAACATGTTTACGACGGGGAGGAGAGCTATCATTTGGACTCTTTGGCGAAAAAGGTGCATACTCCTGATTGAAGGAGTTAGGATAGAGGGGGAAGAGGTCACCGAAATGGTTAAGCAATATATTCGGGAGAAACTCATGGCACAATGGCAAAGTGTGAAAGTAAAATTGGATCTGTTTCAAACGAAAAAGACATATGGCAAGATATCCGACAATTTTCCAGGGAATGGCTGGGGAGGGAAGGTAAGATAGCCCACATCTGTTGGGAGGGAGGACAGTCTTCAGAAGGGGGTGAGGACGGGTTCAGAAGAGACTATGGTATCTGTTTTAGCGATTGGACGAGGGTAGATGGGGCGGTCCCTCTGTGCCCTCCTGATTTCCCCGGCCCCTTTCCACCCCATGGATTCTCCATGGTAGATCTACAGTGGTACGAAGCGATGTAGGTTTTATCTGCTCGGTCAATCCCCTGGCTTCAAGGTAATCAATGCTAACAGATGGAGGAGATACTAGTATGGTTCCAGCATGGTTCAGTATGCTTCAGGGGGAGGGAGTAACCAAGGAGTAGCTGTGTATCCGGCGCCGAATGCATGGTGAAGAGGTTTCCCCTTCCTACCAATACCCTGCTCAGTTGATCCCCTGGATTCAAGGGCAATCAATGCTGGCAGGAACATGACATAACTGTTTCCGGATATACTTCATTTTTAGTCTGTGCAAGGGAGGCTGGACACGTTTTCAGCAGGTGTTGCTCCCCACCAATAGATGGAGCCAGGTGTTAGTGGTGTCTTCTCTTATCAGCATCACTAACACTCGTGGGGGTGTTTCAAAAAAAAAAAAAAAAAAAAAAAAAAAAAAAAAAAAAAAAACATCATCCATCCATCCATCAGGTGAGAAAGCAATCTGCATGCTCACACACATAACCAAGACCGCAGAGAGAAAGAAGAAGAGAGCCCAACACACCCCAATAGGCCATGAAGCACCAAGCAACCACCCATGGGCATACCCAAGTCACACGACACTTACCTGTGAGGCCCGACCTCCAAAGATGGATAACAACTCACCCCCTTCTCTCATAGGTCCTCCTGACTCCTAGCTACCACTACACGAAGCGTCCTCGCATGACTAAGATGGCCTTCCTACACCCATGTTACAATGCAGGATCCTCCGTCGATGTTGAAGACCGAAGCAGCAACTTGGAGCTCTTCGATGCAGATATGGCAGCCTCCAACCAAGTCTCCCTCTTGAGGGGAAGCCCAAAAGTCACTCAGTGTCTTCTTGAAGTCCAGATTCCAGGTGCGAGTACCTCGCACTGTCTACTCCCTCTCGCTTACTCCAATCAGCCTCCTTTGTGTCCCGCCACCTCATTCAATCACTCAAGCAACCTGGTCAGGTCTAATGTCGACCCTACATGGCCTAACCAGGTGGGGGCAGCATCCACATACCTCACTGCCCCTCTTAACCCTAACTTCCAACCCTAATTTGAGATTAGGTTAGCCCTAACCGAATCCAGAATTAGGGTTAGGTTGACTAACACGTCTCGCCAGCAAGTAAGTCCGCTCCGATACCAATTGTTAAGATCTTGGTCATTCCCAAAGTGCAAATTCACAATGAAAGAGAATGCCACCCGATTGCGAAAGAAATGAAAGCACTTGCGAAGAGATAGAGACCAAAGAAGAGAGAAAGAAGAAGAAGAAGAAGAAGAAGAAGAAGAAGAAGAAAAAGAAGATGTACACCAGCAAGACCAATGACGAATCCCCCTTCTCTCTCGACCTTCCTCCTCCCACTTCACTTTGCCAATCTTATTCTTCTCCCAATAATAATAATAACAACGAGTGGATGAACTAGAATCAATATCCGAAGTTCCCTCTTATTGCTGACACAACAACAGGTCCACCATAGCCATGGTTTCCCCCTTCTTCCTCCTCTCACATGCCTAGGCTATGGCAGACTACTAAAGGTTATGCCCTCCTGTGCAATGGACAACGCAAAGCAGCTATGTCGCTGCCTCTCATGCCGCCATGCCCGACTCTGCCTCGAGCTTCCTTGGTGCGGCACTACCCCAACTGGGGCCTTTTAGATGCAGCGCCTATCAAGGTGATGAAGAGGGTGTCCACCATAGCGAGGTAGGTACCTCGCCACTCTCCTCCTTCGCCCCCGTCTTCGTCCTCAGCCTGGGCTGCTCGCCATAGCCAGGCTGAGTGCCCAGCTGCTCTCCTCCTCCCAGCAGCGCTCCCAAGTCCAGCGCTTGGCTCCAACAGTATGTCGCCAATTCTTGCACACCGCAAATGAGGAGGAGCTGCTTGCTCCTCCTGAAGATATAGTGACCTATTGGCCTCTTGGGCAGTGACTTCCTAGGCCGAGCGGCCTCCCAACAATCGGGACCTCCTATCTTTCGGAGGTAAACATCATTGCAGGCTCTGATATTGTCTGGACAGGCCTAGACTCTGGCTACTTGGACTGGTACCGACCTATCTCTAACATACTGCTATTGGGCCTCTAAAAATGCCAACTTTTGTCTTCTTCTGCTTGGCCTCTAGTACCCGACATTTCTACCACTCCTGAGTGGTACCGGCCTACCTGCTACTTGAGTGTTTTCCCCGCTGCAAGTCATGGCCACAGGTAAGTACCGGCCCTGCGCGGCCTTTCAACCAACAAGTACCCTTGCGGGTCACATGCTCAGGCCGACAAGCACTGAGAGAGGCACGCAGACCAGCAGGCACGCACACAAACTCCGACTTAGAAATCACAGCAGAATGCAAGCATCTCACAAAGGCATACATTCCAGCGGCAAATCCCAGAAATCAGTAGTGTTCTCAGTCTGTGTTTTGGCGGGTCATTACAGATATGAAGTCCGGATACCATCAAATTGCTATTAGACCTGAGGACCAGCACAAAACGGCCTTTCAAACCAGGTAAGGTCTGTACGAGTTTGCGGTGATGCCCTTTTTCCTATGCAATGCTCCTAGGAGGTTCCAGCACGCAATGAACTGGATCTTTCATGACTATTTAGGCAAGTTTATCGTTGTGTACCTCGACGATATCCTTATCTTTAGTAGGACTGTAGAGGAGCACGCTGAGCACGTGAAAACAGTACTAGGGCTCCTAAGACAACACCAATACTTGGAAAAATGTGAATTTGGTTGAACCAAGATCTTATATCTGGGTCATGAGGTTCTGTGGATGGTTTGTGGTCGGATGATGCCAAAGCGGTCAGGATACGTGACTGGCCTAGATCTCAGTCTGTGACTGATGTGAGGTTATTTTTGCGGATGACAGGCTGTTACGGCCTGTTTGTGAAGAGCAATAGTACTGTAGCCTCTCCTCTAACTGACCTCACGTGCCTTGACTCCCCATGGCAGTGGACCGAAGAATGTGAGGCAACCTTCAAGAGATTGAAATATGCCCTGACGCACTATGAAGTCCTTGAACTTCCGGATCTTGAACATCCCTTTGTTGTGACCACAATGGCCCGCCAAATTGGCATAGGCGCGGTCCTTGCGCAAAAGGAGGGGAAAAAGTTGAGGTCGATTGAGTACATTGTTTTGCTTGATCAAGAGGCGTTTAAAGACGGCCCTCGAAGTCCTCAGGAATTATTTAACGTCGCAAACAGGACGACGATCACAACCAATGGAAGGTACTCCGCCGATATTTATTTAAAGACGTCTGGTGCTCGTCTCCTCTGTAGGGCTGGCCTGCCCCTCGTAACCCATCTACAGCGCAGCATGCAGACAAAGGACAAAGCAACAAAGCATGCGTGCTCTACTCCCAGTGGGTTGGCATGGTGACGGTGACCATGTGCTTCATCCATGGCCCCTCAGATAGCTCCGACCTCTCCTTCCAGATGCTTCATGTGAACAATGCCGACTCTCAAGGTTGAGCGCACTTGACTCCTCACAAGAGAGGACTCTCAAGACAGAACACACATCCTCATGGTAAGAAGTGTCGAAGAGGGTAGATAAGGTTAGGAGCAACGCACCTCAAAATAGCTGCCCCCAACCACAGATATCCTGACCAGATGACGTGACGTCGATTGTGATGACCAATCATTGCTTCGTCACAGTCACCTCAGCATCAATTGAATATCAGATAGTTCTCATCACACTGCGAACACCCAAAACTACCTCGTAGCCTTCCAGGCGATACCCCTCTCCCCCTAGGTCACCCTGCTTGCCTTTGCCCTCCTCACTACACACTTCCTACGGTCGCTCACCCAGCAGTCCGCATGCATGTACCACATAGGCAGAAGACAAGCGCCATATTAGCGCAACGCACCACAGCTCCGATACCAAAATGCAAGGAAAATGAGCGATAACGAATTCCAGAAACCAAGCAGCAGCATACACTTGAAACCAGATAGTCGTGACCTCGAACCAAAAGCAGAATTGCAACACGTGTTTCACCAAATAAGAGCACAACAAAAGTTCACAAGTTACGATGTTGGAATAGTCTCATCATCATCATCAATGAACCAATATCGACTCCCTATCTGGCACTCAGCGCCCATACTACGAATGGCAGATCCTATCTACCCAATCTACAATGGCGCTGGTGACGTTAACAACTCCCCGAAGTACGAGCAGATCTCGGCCAATGCCGTTCGCCTCAAGCACCAGGTATGTCTCACGCATCACTCACAACCTCGATCCCCCACACAAATGCCACGTGCACCCAAGGACCACCGTCCGCCCCATCCAGCACCTCGCATGCCAGCTCTGCTATGGCTGCCTGCGTGCATCTAGCTCGCCCGTGAGTGAGTGGGCGCTTGCTTGCCAGTAGCGCACCAGCGCTTGTGCAACATGTAGCAAGTGCGCGAATGCGAAATGCGGAGGCAAACACTTTCCTTTATGGAAGTGGCCTGCCTGCTGCGTGCTGCTTGGCTGTGTTGGGCCCTGCCCAGAAGCTTCTGGTAGGCCCTTAGTGGCTGAGCCCCGATCCAAGGGAATCAGGCACAGGGCCTGGGGTGGTTACCCGTGTCCAACCTGCCAGTCGCCTCTATGCAGCCCATGGCCTGTGTCTAGCCAGGGCCTGCCTCTGATACATTAGGAAGAAGGCGGGCAGGGCGTGGGCTCTCTCAACCAACTGGTGCTGCGCAACTGCCTGAATTTTCGCAGTTGCGTGTGAAGCCCAAAATAGGCCTCTCGTCCCGTTGTCAGGCCTGCCTTCACTTAGGGCAGCCAATATTGAGAACAGGGCCCAATAGGGCTTATCGAGGCCGTGAGCCTTGCATTATTTTAATGAATTTAAAATACTTGATCTGGTTTTAAATGAATTTAAAATAATTGAATTCATTCAAATGGGTAAAAATCGAATTTAATTAATTTCTAAATGGATTTAAAACGAATTTAATTAATTTTGCAAGGAATATGAGTGTGAACGATATACAGAAAACCAAGTTGCAAAATCACACAGATGTCAAGGTAGTCGTATCCAAGCAGAGTACAAAATGCATCGAGAAACCATCCGTATAGAGCATACAATGAAGTAATGAGCCAGTGTCCAAGCCCGTAGGCCACACCAACACAGTATTCAAAGTCGCTCCTGGCTGTATGACGCCCAGCGCCCAGCCTACCTGCCCGACTAGCCTACCTACAGCTGGTTCACGCCACAGGATCGCTTCGACTCACAAAGACCAATGTACATGACTGTGAACACCAAGGTACGTATCTCCTCACCCTCAATCAGACCTCGATTGCCCCACACAGCGCCTCCTTCCTTGAAGACCACCAGATCACCCGCTGTACCCCCTAGCGCCCAGCAGCCCGGCTATGGCTGCCCTCGCCCCGATGCCCTGCAGCGCCTCACTCCACCTCAACACGCCCTGTCAGCACCTTTGGCAGCAGCGCAGCAGCATCAAGAGAAAGCGCAGTAGCACTTCCTCATTGCCAGCACTGGCCAGAATTCTTGGCCTTGGCTGCCTCACTACTTTTGTGGAAGTGGCAGCCTCCTGGATGCTGCGTGTGGCTTGGCTGAAAGCTTCCGGTTGGGTCCCAGACCCTGCTTCCAGGCCCAAGACTACAGTTGAGGGCCTGGGCCCTTTGCAGTTAGGCACGACCTGAGTCTCTGGACTTGGGTTGTTTGCTGCCTCTGTGCAGGGCTCCCAGGCAGGTGCGTCGTCACTATTGCTTTTGCAAAGGCCGATGGCCTGCTTCCCAATGTATCGGCCCTGCTTTGTGTATGTGTGCCCAGGTGCAACTGTCAAGGCCTCGACCAACTGTAACATATGGAAATGTTGAATTTTGCCTTTGACGAATATCCAGGCCCGCCTTCACTTAGGGCGGGCACTTGGCTTGCTGGGGGCATTGGCGAACAATGTGATGTTTGATAGGGCCCCTTGAGTGCTTATTCCTCTCATTCCATCCCCCTTAGCGTCGAAAGTCCGTTGAGATGTTTCATGCTGGTGCCTTCCCCTCCAATTTCTTCTCATAGTTGCTCCCTTGAAATCCATCGATCTTCCTTCGGATCAGTATGATGCTTGAAATGTACTCTGTACGTCCTCGCAGGTTTGGGAGGTCTTCCCCTGCTAGGTGGCTTGGGAACATACGTGTCTTTGTGATCCAGGATGTCGTCGACGTCCACGTGGCCATCCATGGTTGGGGGCAGCGTAGATCTGGGTGATGGGAACTGTGCTGTCTCAGCGAAAGGTGCAAGCTTCGAGGCGTGAAAAACAGCGTAAGTGTGTAAGTGACCCGCAATACGAATGACGTACGAGGGACCATCCAAATCATTTTCCCAGGCAGGTGCGTCGGCACTACTGCTTTTGCAAAGGCCAATGGCCTGCTTCCCAAGTATCGGCCGTGCTTTGTGTATGTGTGCCCAGGTGCAACTGTCAAGGCCTCGACCAACTGTATGACGCAGCAATGTGAGGCTCACTAGTCTACCCAACCAACCGGCGTGCTGCGAGAGCCTGAATACCCACATATGGAAATGTTGAATTTTGTCTTTGACGAAAATCCAGGCCCGCCTTCACTTAGGGCGGGCACTTGGCTTGCTGGGGGCATTGGCGAACAATGTGATGTTTGATAGGGCCCCTTGAGGACTTGTTCCTCTCGTTCCATCCCCCTTAGCGTCGAAAGTCCGCTGAGATGCTTCATGCTGGTGCCTTCCCCTTCAGTTTCTTCTCATAATCTGCCACGATATGAGGAGCTGTCTTGACAAGTTCCTCCCTTGAAATCCATCGATCTTGCTTCGGATGAGTATGATGCTTGAAATGTACTCTCTACTCCCTCGCAGGTTTGGGAGGTCTTCCCCTGCTAGGTGGCTTGGGAACATACGTGTATTTGTGATCCAGAATGTCGTTGACGTCCACGTGGCGATCCATGGTTGGGGGCAGCGTAGATCTCTGTGATGGGAATTGTGCTGTCTCAACGAAAGGTGCAAGCTTGGAGGCGTGAAAAGCAGGGAAAGTCTCAACGAATGACGTACGAGGGACCATCCAAATCATTCCCCACAATGTCAACGACTTCCCACCGAAATACTGAGACATTCGTTTCCTAGAGATGCCAAACTGTCCCAACTCACTAGGCTTGACCCAGACACGTTCCCCTACCTGAAATGTGGACTGTCGGCGACGCTTGTTCTCAGAAGCAATCATGGCTTCCTGAGATTTCTTGATGTGTTCGACAGTGTGCTGCAACAGTTTTTCATACTGGATGCCAAATTCAATGGTTCCAGGAGTTGCAGCAGTTCGGTTTTCAGGCAGGAGGAAGTCTAGAGCGGATTTAGGCTTCCATCCCAGATGTAGTTGACTAGGACTGACGCCTGTGGTGCTGTGTACAACATTGTTGTACAGACTGGCGATGAGAGGTAATTTCTCATCCCAATCGTCCTGGCTGGCCTTAATGTAATGCCTCAGCAGATGCTGCACCACACGGTTCATCTGTTCAGCCCACCCATTTTCTTCGAGATCCTCGAAGTCATCTGCAGGTGGCTGCCCATTTGTTCAGCGGCCTTCTTCCACATCTCGCTTGTGAATCACACATCTCTATCACTAACAATTGTCTTTGGCAGTCCAAAATCACGCACCCAGTTATCCATGAATAACTTGATGAGATGTTCAGTCCTGGCGGTCTCCGACATGGCAATTAGTCTACTTAGTGAACCTATCAACTATGACGAAGATGTGCCTCTTGCCATTCTTGCTAGTCACGAGAGTATCCATGAAGTCCATGGAGATACTCTGCCCTGGGCCAGCAGCAATGGGTAGAGGCTTCAGTAGCCCAAGCGGAGCTTGAGTCCGCGATTAATCCCGCTGACATACCTGACAGGTCTGTACGTACATCTTTACATCGTAGCATGTTAGGCCACCAAAATCGTTGTACTAAGTTAGCACTAGTCTTCTTGTAGCCGAAATGTCCCGCTCAATCACGGGACTCGCCTAAAAGCAAACTACGCAAAATTTTCCTAGATGGAGCAACTAACCTTTGAACCCTGCCTTTTCAAGAAAGAGTAATCCATCCACCATCACAAACTCATTAGTGGTGGCCTTGTCTTTGGCCTGCAGTTTCTTGATGATGTACATCGTGATGGGATCTTCCTTGTAGGCTTCCTCCAAAGATCGAGTCACGTCCTAAGATAAGCCAAACTAAGAAATCAGCGCATTTGCAACCTTGTTGTACTCTCCCTTCACATAGTCCAGTTTGAAGTCATACTGATCTATGACTTCAATCTAGCGTTTGAGTGCATCGGAGAGAACGGGTTGTGTCTTGATCCACTTGACGGTCTGATGGTCAGTTCTCAAGTAGAAGACCCTTCCTAACAGATAGTGCCTCCAGTGGACAAGTGCCTTGTAGAGAGTGTAGAGTTCCCTCTCGTAGGTGGACTTTGATCTTTTTGCTCATGTACTCGACTGGTCTCAACTTTTTCCCTTCCTGCTGAGCCAGCACTGTGCCAATGCCGTATTTGCTTGCGTTAGTGGTTACAACAAATGGCCTTTAAGGGTTGGGTACCATGAGAACCTCATGGTGCGTGAGATCATGCTTTAAACGCTTGAAAGCTGCCTCACACTCGTCGGTCCAGTCCCATGGTGTGTCAAGTTGAGTTAGATCAGTCAAGGGATGCAATCGTACTATAGTTCTTTACGAAGTTATGGTAATAACCACACATTCCCAAGAATGATCTGAGCTCAGGCACTGACTGGGGTCGAGGTCAGTCCCTAATGCTAACCACCTTTGCATCTTCGGGCCAAATCCCATCCACGGATACTTCATGACCCGAGTACAAGATTCGAGTGCGACCGAACTCGCATTTCTCTGTGTTTATCTTATGCTTGTGCTGCCAGAGGAGTGAAAGTACTCTATCTACTTGCTGAGCATGCTCCTCGACAGTTGTACTCAAGATTAGTATATCCTCGAGGTACACGCCGACGAACTTATCCAATGGAAGATCCTATTCATAATGTGCTCGAATGTACCCGACGCATTGCAAAGGCCAAAGGGCATCACCACAAACTCGTAGAGACTGTACTTGGTCTGGAATGTGGTTTTGTGCTGGTCCTCTGGTCTTATGGCAATTTGATGGTAGCCGAATTGTAAGTCTATCTTTGTATGGTACTTGCATCCATGCACCCTATCCAATAGGTCGTCTTTGCGTGGTAGAGGCTTTGTCTTCTTAATGG